TATAAATATAATATAATATTTAATTTAAATTTTTTTGGTCGATATTTATATACATATCAAACGATTCAAGCATGAATTTTAATACCAAACTACAATTTTTAATACTTTTAAAATAAATAATTTTTTTTTAATTTACCAAAAATTTTAATATAATTTTTTTCGGTGTATTGCACCCGATGCAATTGCCGCTCGCCTCTCCTTCATATTTGTCTTCTGTTTTCCTTTTTTTTATTTTGTTTCTCTGTTTTTGCCTATGTGTTTTTCCAGGAATTCCGTCACTGATACTGCCATATGCAAAACAAAACACAAAACAATAAAAAACAAAAAAAAATACAATAAAAAACTACACAAAATAAGTTCGTAAAAAATGATTGCTGCATATTTTCACAACGTCATTTTCTGGAAAATAAATGCAGAAAGAAAAAATTATTGTTTGTTGTACAATAATTTATGCAAATATTGCAGACGCGCGCAAGAAAAGAAACTTTATAATTATGAAGAGGGGTGCCGGCCAGAAGAAGAAGGGTTTTTCAGCGAGGAGGGGTTGGAGGAGGGGTTGCTGACCAGCCGGCTGTCTGTCATTCAATCATTCCGTCCGCCAGTCAGTTTGTCATTCGTCGTCGGTCGGTCGGTATCTCAGTCTCAGTTTTAGAAAATTGAGCATGTAAAATGGGTTTTGGCTTTTGGAGAGTTCTTGTTTATATTTTTAATTAAAATTAAATTCATATATTAATAATGAAAATAATAAGATGAGTACACAGAGAGAAAAACAAAGAAATTAAGAACTTTCTTTAATTAAGAACATTCTTGTCCTTATGTTCTTCAGTAAAAATTTGCTCTTATTAAATATACAAAATTTAAGAACGAATTGTACTTGTATTAAGAATTTTTTTCCTAAACGTAGAATGTCTTTTTTTCCTCAGTCTTTATAAAATATTTGTTTAGCTCGCGGGACTTACATTTCATTTAGTTTAATTTCTCGAACAATTATTTCGGTTGATTTTAGATGACAGCTTTCAAAGTGCACGGTTTACTGAATTGGAGCTTTGTTTGCCTCTTCGACTTTCTTAACTTGTTTGGCATATTTTATATTTGTCTCGTTATGCTATTTTCCCACCGCCCCCTTTCGGCATATAAACACTCTCAAAATGGAGAGATGCCGTGACATTTGTCCGTTTATCCCTGGGTCTCCACCCCGTCGTCAGTCGATTGCCGTCTAAAGTTTCATAAATTCAACGAATTCTGTCGCCCAGGGTGAAATCAAAGCACAGCACAAAATGTAAGCATACAAATTCCACGAGTTCTAGTAGAAATATTGTTCTGTAGGCATTAAAAATCGGCAAAGAAAAATTGTAATTGTTAAAATTTATTTTCCGGAAAAAGCATTAAAAAAATTTATTAGTAATTTAAATTGAAGTTATTAATATTTATACGGTTTTTTATTTCGGTATCTATTATTAATTTATTAGTTTTTTATTTCAATGGTTAGGGAAAATTATTGAAAAAAGTATTTACTTATTTATTTGCAAGGGTATAGAAATTCTTTGAAAAACAGGAATGCTAAGTAAATATTTTTTTATGATTCTTTATGCAGTTTTCATAATGTAAGCTATTCATATTTATGTCTTAACCTTTTTCCTCTTTCGATTATTGCATAAATTTATTGTCAACATTTTTGCTTGTGCTATTTTCTATATTCCATATTTTGTTGTTTTTTTTTGTGTTTTTTTTTGTGTCACGCATGGCGACAATTGCATACAAGTGGATGGAATTTGGGAGTGTCCTTGCCCGTGTTTAGTTGTCCTTATCGATGGGCGAGGAAGCGGGACGGAGGATGGACGTGGGACAGACAGACAGACAGACGAGACAGATAAAATAAATGGAAAATGCGCACAAAGAAAACGAAATTAAAAACGCAAGACGCCAACCAAGGGACTGGGTTTTTATGTACCAGAGACCTCGGCACTTTTACCCTTTTACCCTTCTTCCCTGCGAACTGCCGTTTTACACCCTGCCATTTGCCATTCCCATTCAAAGTGCCTCATTCTCCTTCATTGCCTTCGCCATTTCCCTTCCTCCCCCCCCTGACATTTCCCCGTGCATTTCCCCCCTTCTGCATTTTTACCCATTCAACAACGCGTTTCACCTGCAACACGGAATATGCAACTTGCCACTGTCGAGGGTTTTTCAGTTGTTGTTGTGTTGTCTTGTTGTTTTGTGTTTTTTATTTTCATTTTTATTTTTGTGTGTCTTCTTCACTCCTGGAGTCCTGGGCCTCGAGCTTAACCCCACGGCGGGTTTATGGGTCGAATAGAACATTCTTGTTTTTATTGCGGTTTTATTAGATTATTATTATATAAAAGCTTAAAAGCCTGCAGAATTTGTAAAATATTTTCAATGATTTTCTTAAAATTTAATATATTTAAAAATGAATCGGATATATATTTATTATTAAATTTATCTATTTGCAGAACTATAAATTACAGAAATGTTTAAAATCATTTTTCATTTGTAAATTCTGGAATATAGATTTTATGTACTATTTTTTTTTTAATTTATTTTGTTCCTAAATACCAGGAACAAAATATTTTGTAGGTGTATTTTGTTGGTTGAAATATAAATTATATAAATTTTAAATTATTTTTGTCTCAAAAAAATCTAAGCCACAATTAACTAGACAAATCATGGCGCTTGCACAAGGGTTAATAAATATGTGTCGATTGTGCAGCCAGGGGGGTGTTTGTGGTGCAAAAGGGGGGCGTGGGGTGTATCTTCAACTGTCTACAGTTGCCTCAACTGTTGATGCAACACACTCACACACATCAAACAGCTGTGCAGACATTTTAAGCAGCCTGTCGTCATTGTTTATGGCCATTACATATGTATGTGCCACACATAAACACACCAAATATATATATATATGTATATATATTTTTTTTTTGTACACGTATTCGCAGAGATGTAGAACCCCTAGACATTTTCTAGACTCGCTTCTAGTACGAGTGTATCTATCAACAATGCGTCTCGCCGTCTGACTTCAGTCTGACTCCCCGTCTGGATGTCTGGCATTGGTTTAACTGTCTGTCTGTCTGTCCGTCGGTCTGTCCGTATGTCTGTCCGTCCTTCTGTCTGGCCTGACTTCTGTCTATATCTATACCTCTACCCCGTCCGGAAATCGCCGGCTTGAGGCCTGCTGCCTTCTGCCTGAAGAGCTTATCAGTGCGTGCTGCCCCATCCATCAGATTTCCCGGCAATTGAACTGATCGTTTTGGTAATGTAATAACTATATTTCCTCAAATCAAATTGCATTTGCTTTAAGTTGGCTTCACATTCGATTTAGATTTGATTCGAATTTTGTCTTCGATTTTCTACAGTTTTCGATTTTTGTTGGCTTAAATTTTCAGTAGGTTTACATTCTTTCGAATTTACAAATTTCCTTAAGTTAGGCTTTATCTTCGATTTTATATTAATTTTTTTTCTTAACTTTATTTTATTTTTTTTTTGTATGATATTTTATAAATGAAGCTTTTATTATTTTCAAATGTAGATTTTTTTAGGCTTTACTCTCTTTACAAATTATTTATTACAGTTTTATTTTGTACCTATTAATGCCTTTAAAAATCATATAAAGGCGCCTTTAATCAGTTGCTATAGTTAATTTTCTACCATTTTCCTTCCTGCATGTGCTTGAACTTGAACTTTGAACCTACTTATGCTTGGCAAAGCCAAACAACAGCAACAAAAACAAGAACAACAAGCTCAAAGTCGAGGAAAAATGGAAACTTTTTCAATGCCACAACCACAGACACAACTGCCAGATGCTGCTGCTCGGCGTTTTCTTGCTCTGCCATCGGCTTTTCTTCCCCGCTTCATAGTTGCGGCTGATTAAAATATGCAAAATAGCAGAGACCGGGAAAAGATGGAGCGATGACGTCAAGAGGCCAAAAATTGTTGAGGGAAAACCCAAAAACAAGAAAGAAGAACTTTATTCAAGGCTAGAAAGTGGGGAACAAAAATATTTCAAGTGCCGTTTTAATTATTTTATTATTAAATTATTTGTAATTATTTAAGTCATTTTAGTTTTAGTCAAACAGGAGGTTACTTTAAAAAAAGTATTTTTTTTTTTAATAAATTAACTAAATTTAAACCTATTTACTGATTTTTTTATTTGTTTTTTTTTTTTAAATAATATATTATTAATGCGATTTTTAATAAGCTAATATAGTTAGCTTAACTTTAATTTGTAAGACACATTCTTTGGTCTCTTAACCCTTGAAATCCGCTTTTTGAGTAAGTTATAATTAAAAAGTTGACTTTTGTCGCTCACTGTGAGCCACGTCATAATTAAGCGCGCCTGCCACATGTTGCAGTCGAAAACTTTTCTCTTTATGGCTGTGTGTGTGTGTTAATTTCACCAAAACATTCTCAATGAGAGTGTGTGTGTGTGTGTGGCACTTGAGGCAACAACGCAGACAGTTAACAGACTTTCTGAGACAACAACAAGAACAACTATAACAGGCGACGACTATGTGGCATTGCCATTCAACTTTTCACCCCCAAAAACCCCTCTTCCCACCATTTCTGCAAACAAGAATAACATTCATTTTGGGTAATTAAAGTAGTGAAAGTTTTACCAACACACACATTCGTCTTCATATTCACACTTGTGACATTTGCCATAGCCTACATTTAAGCTAAATAGACAATTTTGATGAGTAGTTAAATAGATTCGAGAAGTGCTCAGGGGGCATCAACTTGAACTTCAGTTTGACAAACATGATTAAAAAACATTCTTGTAAGCTTTGGAAAAGGTTTAACAGGAGTTAACATTTTGGGAACATTTATTGAAAGGATTTTTCTTTAATATTTGTATTAATAACAAAAACATTGAAATATTCTTTATAAAATTTGTAAAAATTACCTATACTAGAACAAAAGCATTGAAAAATTTTTAAGCTAATGTTAAATATTATATTTCTATATCCTTTTAGCATATTCTTCAAAATTCCAAATTTCAACGAAGAAGAAAGCGTGTAAAACTCAAAGAGAAACCGGCAAAGAGAAACCAAAAAGCTAAAAGGCAACAACAAAATTCACACAATACGCAATCTCGGCAAATCGAAAGGCAACTCTACAAGAAAGATCAACTCTACCAACAAGAAGAAGAAGAACGAGGAAGAACACGCTACAACTCTGGCAGCGCTCTCTGGCTAATATTGAAAAAAATCAAGCGAAATAATTAAAACTTTATCTTAATCCCTCTCTAACCAACCACACACACACACACACACATATGCACACAACCACAAATTCGACCAACTGGACCAATTAAATGTTTATGGAAGCAAAAAGGAGGAAAGCGACAAAAACTTAACCAAATCTAAATAAAACAATTTTCGTTTCTTGGGGCAAAAAAAAACTTTCGAACTTGGAAACATTTTCAAATTTTCGGAAAAACCCCACAAAAAAAACTACATAACAGTGTTGTAAAACAGCCCCAAATTACATATTTCGGTGTGCAAAAAGAGCAAAAAGTAAAAATATTTTAAAGCGACGCAAAAATAAGTCACAGATCAGTCAACAAACAACAAGAACAACCGATAAACAACTGCAGCGACAACCAACAACAACAACAGTAAGCAAGTAACAACAACAACAACTGCAACAATCCAAAATCGACGAAGACGACGGCCCCCGACAAAAATCAATTGGAAAATTGAAACTTATGGATTGCTGGACGGGTAACGCCCGACTGGCGAGTGTTTTAGTTTAAGGTGAGTTCAAAAACTAAAGAAAAATTATTTTTATAAATGTATGATTATTAGAATGTTTGATGATCAAAAACAAAGAGTCTTAACTTTGCAAAATCATGGTTAAAAGTAAAATACATATATTTATAACATAAGTAATCCGAAAATATTCCATAGAGCATATACTTTACAGGCTGGTTAAGTTTCACAATTATATGAGACATTTTAAAATTGTTCGGTTATTAAATGGTTGTTAATTAAAAACATTTATAATACAAGTGATCCGGAAATATGCTATTGAAAATCTATTTTATAAGCTGGTTTAGTTTTACAATCATAAAAGACATTTGCGATTTCTCCCCCAACCAAATGTAGTTTCCATGCAATTAACCACACAGGGTGTCTTAACCCCTTAATGCCCCATGCGCGATTCCCTCTCTGCCGACCAAAGAACATCAAACAAAGGCATGTTAAACCACAATCAGGAAAATACAACAAAAAAAGAGACTGCAAAAATTATTTGCGAATTTTTATTTTATGGTGTTTTATTTTTGAAGGCCAAGGTCGCGGCGCATATGGGATCATAATGAGAAGAGGAGAGGAGAAAACGGGGAAAAAGCACCAAACAAATTTTAATGCATGACAAAAGTTTTATTTTATTTCATTTTGTTTTTGTTGTTTGCTTTTTATTTTATTTTTTGCTGTTGTTTTTTTGAGAGTTGATCGAAGCGGAAGTAAGCGACGTCGTCTGCGCTTTTTTGACAATGGGAAGTGAATGCTAAAAGATCGTACCAAAAAAAAAAACAAAAAATAATAATAAAGAATGGGTGTGTTTGTGTGTGTTTGCTGTCAAACAATTGTGTGGCCAAACATGGCGCTTTGGCTTCGGCTTCGGCTTTGGCTTGGCTCAAGTGAAGGTTTCTCATTTTAAATTGAGGATTTTTTTCTTCGCTTTGCACAATTGCGAAATTGTTTTAATTAGCTAAACGTCTAAGTGTGTGTGTGTGTGTGTGCATGCGTTAATTGCAGTTTCCAAAATTAGCAAAACACACAGACAAAGGCGTCAGTCGTCATGTTCATGGCTGTCAAAGCTCTTTTTTCCCTCTTTTTGATTGACAGCAGCTGCCCTGTTGTGAATGGCCGCGAGTGTATTGGTGCGGCAACCCTGCCTTTTCAGCACATCTAATGGTCCGTCCATTATATATGTATGCATACCTCATATACTATATTCATACACTCGAAAGGTAAGGTATTCTCTTTGTTCTGCCTCTAATTTCAAAGGTGGCTTCCTCGGAAATTCCATTTTTTAATTTACTTCAAAGTTTCTATACAACCACCCTGGTAACCCTGCTTCTTCTAAAGGAAATACATTTATTTAATAGCCTTGAAAAGGTTTTTTATTTTTCTTTAATTTTACAAATGCTAAATAAATTAGTTTTTATTTTATTTATGAGTTAAAAATTTATTTAATTTTTTTTTGCTTCAAAAATTATTGCATTTTATTTTATAATTGACTTATTTTAATCTCGCAAAAAGAAGGTCAGCTGCTTTACTACAAAAACCAGATAAATTGGAAGCCACAATTGTCTGTCATGGTGGAAAACAGTTTTCCTCTTTCATTTTCCTAGTTCCCAGGGTCGCGAAATCAGGCAAATGCCTTTTCCCATTAATAAAACGTTAGCACCCGTTCATTCAAGTCGGCCTGGCCTGGCTGGCTAGACTATGACAAAATTAAGGCCTAATTGATGAAACGGCAAAACAAAAGTTATTTCTATTGATTGAGCGGCGAAAGAGTTGCCAGGCGAAAATGAAAATGCAGCTACGGAGAAACGACGGTTGCTTACATAATTATGTGCAATTTATGCGCAACGTGACAAATCAATTTTTCTCTGACTTTTTTTTTTGTTTTTCGCTTTTCTCGGCTCTTTGCGCTTTTCTCAAAGCGTTGACAGCCAACAGATCTCTCTGGATTTTCGCACGCTCAATTGCGGCCGAGAACCGTTATCATGACTTGGCCTAAGCAAAATAAATAAATAAATAGAAAGGGCAACAGTAACGAAAAGATTTATTTTTAGGCAGGCAAGAAAATAAATAATACAAACAAATAATGAATAATTTGATTAGTGACTTAGTTAGTATAAAATAATAAATAATATAGATTGTTTAAGAATATGATACATTTTAAGCTTTGAAGATTTGAATAATCAAATCAAACAAATCTCATTCGATGTTGTTTTAAATTTTTTCTTAGCTGTTTTTGTTCCTCTTTTTTTTTTATCAATTTTTTTAATCTCACTTTTCGAGCACTTCCGCATTGTGGTCTATTTTTTTTTATTACGCATACGCCGCGTGTTTGCGTGCTAAATTTGTATTTTGTTTTCTTTCTGTTCAAATATCAAAACACACGAGGCTGCATTCATAAGTTATTTTTTATGTAATGCACAATACCTATATATCACATATATATATATTTTTTTTTATCGAAAATGCGTGCTCAGCTAAGCATTGAAAGCAAAATAAGAAGAAAAAAAAGTAAGCAGCTGGGGAAAAAAATAAGAAAAAGTAAAATAAACTGAAATGCTCACGACGCAACAACGTGCAATTTGTAATTGTTATTATTGTTGCTGCCACGCCCCGAACGCCCACACGCTGTTGTGTGGCGCCAGTCGCAGGTTTTCTTATTACGGAAAAGCTGAAAGCTGAAAACTGAAAACCGAACTCAAAACACACCAACTCACACGTCAGAAAAATGAGAAAAAAATGATTACAGCACTCCAAGCTAAAGATACGCACTTTGGATATGCCGTTAATTATTATTAATGCAACCCGATCTGCCCAGGTGTTTTGTTCGTATATATGTGGGCTTTTGTGATAATGGAATATACACATGCCCATGTGCGAATAATATTGACAAACTCTTCCTACTCGAACTTTTGCAAAGCCTAGCGACCTAATTGGCTTGTAAATCGTTTTAAATAAAATATTACCAGGTCTGTTAACCTTTTAGGCCTCGCAAAAACCGGGGTTGGGTTATCGGAAACAATTTCTTTATAATTTGATTTGAAATCGGACAATGAATAGTCAATTTACTGAAAGGCAATCAGGCTAAGAACGCAATCGACATTCGATTAGATTCCGAAATTGCAACTGCCTGGTATTTTTCAATACATTTTAAAAGAACCCAAACTTAGGGAAAGGGTCACACTGGCAAGGTCACAATAGAGTGGGAAAGGGTAACACCAATTAGGGAAAAACAAGTAAGAACCAAATTGAATTTCACGCAAATAGGAAGTGATTAATAGACGACCTTAAGCAGACAACAAAGGAACTCAAGAGAAATGCAAGGCAGTGTGCGAGGGAGTGAGGTGACGAGAGAGAGTGAGAGAGACGCAGTGAGCGAGTGCGCATGCAATAGGAGCATGGTCACCCTAAAATGCACTTCCATGCGTGCCTTCTATGTGTGTCTGTGTGTGCGTGTGTGTTATCGCTGTGGCATTGCAACAACTACAAACTATAACGCAATTATATGCAATGCTCTAACCTCAAACCCACAACCACCCACTCACCCACCGCCCACTCAGGCCTAGCTCTGTCTCCCTCGCACTCACACTCACTCGACGGCAAAATCGCATTTTGCGTGCATCAATTATTGCGCATTTCTCAGTTGCGTTGTTCAATTTTTTTTTCGTAGTTTTTCTTCGGTTTTTTTTCTGTGGTGTAGTTGCTGTTTTTATCTGACAGCCGCCTTCTAATTTACACAACAACAACAATTACTATTGTACAATTATAATGCATAACATTGGCTGAACAAGTAAGGCGGAAAAAAAAGATGAAAAACAGAAGTAAACAAAAACTAGACTTCTAGTTTTTAGGGCTGCAGAGAACAGATTTCAAGTTCAGAAAATATTAGTCCAGTTTTTTTTTTTGGAACTTGGAGTTTAATTTTCGTTATTATGGAGCTTGTGTGAACATTTTTTTTAACGCATATGTGAGACCCAGATTTTTTTACTGTATTAAATTATTTGTAAAAAATAACTATCAAATGAAATAGATATGAAATAATTTTTAAAATTTATAAAGTTAATTTTTCCAAATAAATAGATAAATTAAACAAGCATGTACAATTTTTATGAATTCGGTTTTAAAATAATTTTTTGATTGCAATTTTTTTAAGCGATAAATAAATATGCCAACTAGCGATCCGCAAACCTTGAAAATCCAGGGCTGCCGTAGTGATTTCCCACTGATTTACAACACCGACTTTTCTTTTCCATTCCCGCCGCCCGGAACACATTGCGTATGCGTGTTTTTTCTTATTTATTTAGTTTTTTGCTGTTTTTGCTCGAGAAGCGCTGGGAAAGGCGTGTGTGTGTAACTGTGGAGTTGCTGTTGCACTTTGCTGCGTGACACATTGTGTGACTGACTTTTCAACTAATAGCAGCAGGAACCAGCGACATGCAAGCCGGGGGTTTGGGTCCGACTCTGACCCATTGGCAATTAGCATTTCGGACGGAGCTGAATTTTTCAGTTTAGTTTGGCCAAAATATAAAATAAAAAAAAGGAGAAAAAAAAAACCATATCTGATCGTCGCTTGCGTGTTCTCCTTCTGTGTATGTGTAATTGTGGATTAATTATAGCCAAGGACCCCACAAGATACAAATAAAGATACAAAGTGTATCTCTATCGCTCCATGTGTCTGTGCAATTTCCGTCCACAGAACAAGGTTAATTCAGTTAGCCATTGTTGGTATAGTTTGCCGCTCGGTCGCTTGTTTTGTATTTTTTTCTGCTTTTTTTCTCTGTTTTAATTGCGCTCAGAGTTACATAATCATTGCAGCTGATGAACACGCACACAGCTGTAAATTATTATTATATACATATATGTATATTTTTTATGGCTTTTTTGAAAACACTTTCGACCGCCAAGAAGACGGATTTTTAAACCTTAGAAAAACCCGTTAGACTTTTCGCTTCTTCTGGGGCGACAATTTCAGCTTGTTTTATCACTTTTGATTCGTGTGGAAG